AGTAGTCGCGCGAAGAAACAATTGTCGCCGATAATAGAAGCCTCTCCGCACGTGGATCAACCGCCTTTCCACTTCGGAAAAATCGAGAAAGCGGAGAAAAGTAACGAGCGACCCGAGGCCAAGAAGTCGAAGCAGGAAGAAATCGATGTAGAGGAGGAGGTGACAGAGCGGACGGAAACGATAACTAGCAAGAAAGAGGTTAAGGAGACGGAAGTGAAGGTTGGAAAGCCGCCCGTATCGCCGAGAAGGGAGAACAAGGGCACCGTGAGGCGCATACCTATCGAACTAGAGTCAGACGATAAGAAAAGCAAGCAAGAAGGGGCAGAGAAGCGGGAGGTGAAGACCCGGACCCCTTCACCAGCAAAGGACACCGGGCTCGACGAAGTAGACAAGGTCGGTACAAGTAGCATGCTGCACAGCAGCCGATACGATCTCCAGCAACGAGCCAACAACGAAGAGTCGACGATACACAAGATGATTCACCGATTATCCAGCGATAGGTCGCCGCCGCCGCAGTTGACCAGGACTATGGTCTCGCCGGGGCCTGGATTCGGTCACAATAACAATCGACCCTTCTCCTACACTAGGCCGAACGAGTCTTGCAGCCCTCCGCCGCCACAGACGAACGTTATCTACGCTCAGGTGCAGACGGATAAGAAGAAAGCTCAAAGAAGTCACTCCGACAGCGACGAGGGACTTGGTTTGGAGAGGAAGGACTCCTCTCGCGAAAATAGTCCGGCTGAGAAGGAGTATCGCAGGGCAGACTACTCTTACAGCAGTGATCTACGACGCAACAACGAAATTAACACGTTCAAATCTAGATACGAAGAGGACAGGAAGAACGGCGGTCCGCATTTCACCAGTCACTATGCCGGAACGCAGGATTATGCTTCTAGAAACGCCGATGCGAAGAGGCGTCATGATTTTGACGAGATCGATAGACGTCTGTACGACAAGCCTGAGAAGTACACGTCCACGGTGTTCGTGGACACATCTGGCAGAGGCAGAGCTGATGGAACTGACGCCAGGCAAAGGGACAACAGCGAGTTTCGGCAGGCTCAGGGTGGGATATCGAATAAGACGTCCGAGTTGAGTGCTAGACGCGATCTTCTCGAGTCGAGGATTAAGTCTAGGCTACTGGCTGACGAGATGTTTGCCGCGAAGAATAGTGCAAACGTGCCTGTGAAGAAGTCCGAGCACGAGATCATAGACAAGCCAATTGTCCCCTCGCCAGTCACGCCTAATCGCGTCGCTTCTCCTAAGCGATACATGGACACGTACATCACCGAAACTCGTACCAACAGCAACGGAGAGAAGTACATCTTCGAGAAGGAGATCCACGAAGATAACGGCAAGGTTTACGGCTACGAGAAGAAGATTACAAACAAAATTCCAAACGACGGATACATCGATGCTAAACCTAGAGACGGTTACACCGTGGAAACTAGGACAGACAAGTACGGCGACAAGTATATCGTTGAAACTAGAACACACGAGGGGTACGCGGACGATTTTAAGCCGTTTCTCAGCGACAGGAGTAGAACCAGTCCCGACGATAGATACCAAGCGAACAGAAACTCGACCAGTCCTTACAAGCCCAATAATTTCCATCCCGAGGAGGCCACTGTCGCTCCGCACTTCAGGAGTGAATCTAGAGAAAACAATCTTCTGCCTTCGCCTATAATTGCCAAGAAATTCACGTCCACGGAGAGGAAATTCTCCAAGAGCGACGATTTCTTGGACCGAGATGTCAGACCTAGGGACGTGTACCTGCCCAAGAAGAAGAATTTCGAATCCATCAGAGGTATGAGTAAGTCTACCCAGCGTCTGGACGAAGTAGGAGAGAACGCCAGAGTGAGGGCCCTGCGGAGCGAGTATACAACCAGGTCACACGAGAACTTGACCAGCCACGCTGACTATGTGAACGCTAGGGACGTACGAAGACCTCTGGTAGAGAGTCCGACGATAAACGACCGAAAAGAAAGGTCGCCGTTCAACAAGAGACACCTGGACAGTCTTCGCGAGGGTCCAAACGACGACTACGACACAGATATATCCCAGATGACGAGTAGCCAATTGGAATCGAAGTATTACAAAGAGACACGCACCACTCAACGGTACACCAGCAGCAAGCACCCAGTTCACGACGATTACGACAGCTCTCCGCCGAGAATACGCACCGACCGCGGAGGATACAATTCGAGCAGATACGACTCTGACACCACGGCTAGAGATTCGATCCGTTGCGAGACCAGATACGACGAGACGTCAAGAACATTGAGAAAGGAGCACAGGAAGTTAGACGAGGATCCTAAGAAGCCTCTGAGAAGGTCGCGTAATAGATTAGATTATTTCGACGATTCCGACGCCAGGGAGAGCCCTCGCGTGAAGACCGCCGTTGGACGGTTAGAGCCTTTCGACGAGAGTCCAACCAGACCACCTAGAGCCTACCACGACGGTGGTAAATCGAGACACACCAGACAGGAGACCAGGACTCACACTGAACGTAGACATCGGGAGACTCGATTGAGCGACTCCGATAGGAAAGATCGTCTGGCTGATTCAGGGATCGAGAACGATTACAGGCGTGACTCTCAGGAGGTTGATAGAAGGGAGCAGATCGAGTCGGAGGACGAGGGTTTCGTCACGAGACAGTTCATTAAACACGAGAGAAGGCACACCGATAGAAATATGAATTTGACGCCGTCCGAGCAACGGAAGTACGACAAATATTCGAACGACATGTCAAAGTCGCCACCGGTGACCGCGAAGCCGCCATCGGGCGCTGATAAGAAGTACGAGAAGAAGGCGGTGAAGAAGAGTGGAACGATGAGCAAGGTGAAGCAGTTGTTCAGTAAGAAGGAGAAGAAGGCGAAGGAGGAGAAGAACAAGAAGAACGCGAGGAGCAGCAGCAGCGGCGCGCTCACCGATGACGAGGTGACAATCAGGTACAGGGAGTACCGTGGCGATCAGCTGAGGAGCGCGAAGAGCGCACGGGACCTGGGCAGCGACATCAATCAGGTAGGAATTTTTTCATATTTTTTTTCGTTGTTCAATTAGCTCGCTGAAACGGTTTCTTAGGCAATTTCGTCCTAGAATGGCCATTTTTAACCCTTTTAAGTCCGGAGGTGTTTTGAACTTGTCGCAGAATTCTTTCGAGGGTTAAAATAGTCTACTTTATACCTTGGATTGAGAGTTTACTCGTTTGGAATGCACAAAACTGTGAAAATCATGGATTTTTGGTATGGGGCTGAAGTTCCTCTCGGACTTAATTAAAGGGTTAAGGCTTCGATATTTAATGATCGAGGGAACTGTACTTGACTTAAGAGTGAAATTTGTAGGTTTTTATACAATTTTTGCTTTAATATAGGAAATCTTAGATACCACCAAAATTATCCATTACTTAAAAAATCTTAGAGTTCTTGTTGGGCTTTATTTATTTAGGATCGGAAATCTTGGAAGTTTCCTTCAGAAAATTTTGAATTCCTCGTACCATTTTATTTAGGAATGAAAATCACAGGATCTCTCTTTCATTTAGCTCTACATTTGAATCTAAGAGTCGAATAAATTATTTGCAAATAATCGAGCAACTATCGCAGACGGTAGAAAAATCCTTCGGGTACTTCCTTATTACTTAATTCTAATGCTAAAATTGACAAGTGTTAATTACCCCTGAAGCGAAACGGTGTCCGAGAGGGAAATATAACGTGTCGAGGATATACGTATGTATGTACATAGTAGCCGTTGCGGCTATCTTTATGTCTCGGTTTAAAGAACAGAAATCACCGTGCACGGGCCAAGATAGATAGCCTTGGACAGTCGTATAAAGTCTGGCTTTATAAGGTTCTTTTACAACCGCGATCTTCGCGCTTATCCGATCATCGTGGATCACCGGGAACGGTTCCTTACGATCGTTCGAACGCCACTTCCGCAATAACACGCTGAATGACCGCGGTGGTCAGAGTCGTATCTCTGGCGCACCTTTAATTTTAACGACATCAGGCGTTTAAACGCCGCATTCTTCTAACAGTGCATGCACGTGGATAATTAACAAAGTTTCTAAAACGTTCAACAACACGTGTTTTGCACGCTATTTTCTAACCGTCTCTTTATGGTGCTCGTGTCTCTTAAGTCGTATAAGGGGTAGTGAGATTATAGTCATTAAAGAGGGTGAAGTACCTTGACGACACTTTGATGGCGGCGTTGATTGATAAGAATGTTATTTCGTGTCGTTTCGATGAAAATTGTTGAAATAAATTAGCGTTTAGCGTAGCGAATCAATCATGTTCTTTTAACGCGAGGAAAATTTCAATTAACGTCTCTGCTTAGATTAGCTATTTGATCGCTTAGTCTTTTGTACGAGAGAAGATGATTGTTCAATTTGTGAAATTTGAAGGTTGTAAAATTCTGTAATTTTGCACAGCAGGGAAAATTATACATTTTAAAAATTGACCAAAAGCTACTAAAATTAATAAATTAGTACTCAAACCTCTAATTAAAAAACCTGAAAAATTCAAATATTTATAATTGTTCAATTTTTGAAATCTGAGACCTGCGAAGAGAAATATAAAATTCTGTAACTTCAATTTTTTTAAACCAAAAAGTAAACCTAGTTAAGAAATTAAACTCAAAAAAAAAAACCGATACGAAATTTCACTGCAAAAATTGCCCAAAAGTTCCTAAAACCGTTAAACCAGCACTCAAATCTCCAATTACCCATCCACTTCACGCAAGTACGCGAAAATTCAAGTGTATCTCCCAAGATATTCATTAGAAGGTCTAAAACCGTACGTTATCAATTATCACTTACACTTCAACTCTATTGACATCCCCGTAGCACGAAACAATCCACCTTAATCACCCGCTACATGCCTATCAATTACGAAGCAATTCCATTCACTTCCTTAGCTACGATTCACTTGGCGCACAGCGTGACTTCCCCGCGTACTTGCTTACATTTCCCACTCTTGGTGTGCGTTTCATCGCGTTGGGGAACGCGATGGCAGAGGCGTTGTTCCAAGTAAACGCGCGAGAGACCCTTAGAAACCGGAAGCAGCCGATAATTGGGATCTCATACCGTTCCCGAGCACACGCTTGCGTCACGCCTAACTGTACACCGTACGGTGGAGGGTATCCGCACCGGTGGATGGCTATTCACCAGGATCGCGCTCCCGCCCACGCTATAGAAACGTTTTTCGGACCGTTTGTCGTCGCGTGTGTGGAAACCGCCGTGTCGGCAACCTTCACTCGGTTTTCGTCGTTTGCTAGAACGGTTCGTTGAACACGCCCAACTAAATAGTTCATATTTATGGGGGTAATTAGATCGCAAGAGTATGTTCCTTGAACTGTTACGAACATTTTCTGTGGAAGCAGATTTATGATCTATGTTAACCGTTTAGAATTTGCAAATTTCTGTTTTTTTTTTTTTTTTTTTTTTTTGTTTAAATTGCCTGAAATAGAGACAAAGGTGAGTTGGTGAGATGTGATTTTTTTAATTCACGATTTTACGTGTTTATGGATTTGAATGCTAGGTGATTTATTGTACTTGTGTTTGGTTGTGTTTCGATTCTTGCATTTTTGTGAAATCTCGAACGTCAACTTGGTGGTTTTAGAATGTATTTTTAATATCTAGAGCAGGCGTGTCCAACCTGCGGCCTTGAACAGCACAATATCGTAAACTTTTAACATTATTATGTGATTTTTAGCGATACTTTTCACGGCTCAATTGCATTCTAACAAAGAATATTAAAAAATAAAGGAGGTTTTGTTACTTATGTACAATTAACTGTATTATATATTTCGTATAGTCCAGGCAAATCGAAAGGTTGGACACCCATGATCTAGAGCTTCAAAAAAACAAATGGAATATTTCAAAATTCTTTCAGTAGATCTTCTGAAATTTTCGAAAGCGATGTTATTTAAATCGTATTATAATTTATATTTGTATTATTTCGTGTAGTACCAGAGACAAAAAATGTAAAATATTAGAGATAAAATTGCTGAATTCTGATTGTAAGATCAGCGATAAGTAGAATATGCGTTTTATAGTCAGAGAGACATTTTTTCCCGTTGCATTAAACCCGAGATAAAGCAAATTGAATAATTAATACATCTAAATAATAAACGTTCTTTCTCCTCCTTTCCAATAATTTTATTCTCATTTGTCAATAATTTTTCATTTAGCTAACAGAAGTTAGTAATTCCATCCACAATTAATTCTTCCTCCTCCTTTCTAATAATTTTACCTTCACCATTTCCTTCAATTAATAATTTTTAATTTAACCAACAAAAGTCGCTATTCGATTTACAATTGAATTAATTGATTTTTTAGTAGTAGTAGTAGTATTGCTTTACTCAGCCTTACAGCCGAGAATTGGACTTGGTTTACATATCCTACGTTTACAAATCTATCTTATCCACTCATACGGTTCATTCATTCCCTCTCTCTCTCTCTCTGTCTCACTCATTCCTGTTCTGTCCTACTCTATTCTCACCCTAACCATTGCACCCTTTCCTATTCCCCTCCCTTTTATTAAACTTTCGTTAAATTTGTACTCTCTTTTCTCTCTTTAACTGACTTTTTAGTAAAGACATTGCGTAACTGTTACTTCGTCTAAAATAAGGGAAACTATCAAGAATCGAGGAAGAAAATAGGCAGAAAATTAGTTCGTTCAAATTCTAATCGTCGCTTAATAAACGAAGTTTCTTAATCGAACTAACTGTCAACGCAGCTTCCCGAACTTCTTGTCGGTTGGAAGCTCGGGTTGGCGTTGGTAATTATTGCACGTGTATCTGCCAACTACTTATTGTCGCGATGGTGATCGCGCTTTATTTGTGATGTCGATTGTTGCGAACTGGACCGCACTGGTGTATCAAGAATGTCGAGTATTGCGTGTTAGAGCGCTCAAAGTGGTGTCGATTGTGTCTAAGTATATTATGGTGTCGAGTGGTGTCTAAGTATATTATTGTAGAATCTGCCCGAATGTCGTGAACTGGCTGTATATATCTCTATTCGTCAAAATGGGGAGTTTACCTTGTTGGCAAATCATGGGCCTTTCACCCCCTAGAGCCGCTCTCCTAGGCCCTCGTGCACTCCTCCGTGGTCCGCAGAGTAGGGCGGTGGCAGAGAGGGAGAGACGGTCCCAAACGGGGGTGTCAGCCCCGCGTGGCGATTTTGTCGAAACGTTGACTTTGCGGGTTTATGGCATGTTTACCGTTACTGAGCGCGCAGAGGCAAGTACCGGCTCACCATGTGGCCCGCAGAAGTGGAGAATTTCCGCGGCCATCGGGTAATAAGCCGGATTTGCCCTCTGGCTTGAATAGGCTATTGTTATCAAAAAACTTGTGGAAAAGCTTCTGAAAAGTAACGTCGCTTGGAATCCGTGCCATAAACTCCTGTTGGTTAAACACTAACATTCAGCGATATGTAATTCTGGAACGCAGAGAAACCTAGCAACGTCGAGTCCCTTCTTCTTCGATATTGAAACGGTCTAAGAGCCGCTAATTACGTGTTACGCGTAGCACCAACCTGTTCTCAGCTAAATACATTGCGTCACGAGATCGCTTGGAGGAGAGAGACTGTATCGGAAATGTACATACATAGAGGAGCTTAACTTCTATATAAAATACACATTATTCGATCAATTCCGTAATAGCGAAACACGTGAATGATATTTCCAACGTTACGGTGTATAATTATTACGCTATCGAGCTATTTACGACTTGGCTACGAGCCACCTGATGAAACCTTATTACAACTGCATACGCGCGGCCTAATATCGCGTAACATTTATACTACTCAATCTGTTAATTGATACTGAAACATCTATTAGCTGTTTACAACGTTACGATACTTAATTCAAATGAGATTTTCTTGGCTGGTATCGTAAGATCGCGGATTGCGTAATCGTGATGAATTGTGAAATTTTCATTTCAACTGCATATTTCACCTGATGTCTGTAACATAAATATCAATTACATTTGTAATATTATAATGTGAAATTTGGTTATGATCGTACCTG